TATTGACTATACTTGATTATTTCTCTTTCTCTTTGATTATTTTTCTTGTATTTCTCTTATTTTGGTCTTCTGATTCTGAATTTTACTTTCTGAAAAATATGGATTATCTTCATGATCACTATTATAGCATCATTATTTTTGCAGTTTTGAGCAATTTTTTAAGTTGTTTTTCTTCATTTATCAATTTATCATTACTATGTATACAATTGATTCAAAGATTGTTTAACAATTTTTGGATCAAAAATATCAACAAGTTTTGGAACCACTTCTTCACAATTTGTATCAAATACATGAATATTATCTATCAATTTTTCAAATATTAGGTTTAAATTAACCATAAAGTTATCTTTATTATTATTGTTATCATCATTTAAAATAGTATTATTTATTATATATGATTTTTTAGAAATTTGAGTTTTTTTTAAGTTTGATTCATATATCAAAAGACTTGTACTATTTTTGTAACCTGAAGTAGTGATAACCTGTTATGATATTCTGTCTGTATATTACTTAATAAAAACCAAACCTATTCAAAAGTTGCAGAATTAGACAGAATTAACCAAAGATAACATATAAGCTTACTTAAATTTAAAGCTATATAATATATAATATGTTAATATTATAATAAAAATTTTATAAAGTTTGGATTTTTGATAAATAATACAAAAAATAAATCTTTCTAATTTGAATAATTTAACTATTTATCAATAAATATATTTTAATTATAATTAGGGTAAAAGGTACAAAACAAGCTATATATATTTTTTTAAATATATAAATATCAAGCTAATTTAATATTTCTTCATAATAAGAGTGTAGTAACTTAGAGTAATGGTTAAATTGTTTTCCTCAAGTAGCAGATCTAGAGTTAAATTTTATCTACAATAAAATTTAGAAAATATATCTATATTATAGCAACTGCTTCTATTATATAAAGTTAGATATCTGTAATATAGTTATATTAATTTGATTAGAAGTTAGAAGCATTTGTGTTATACAAGATATACAAACCAGTACTAGATAATACAAATTTATAATAAGTTTCTTGGTTTTGTATAGAAATCTGTATATATAGAAAAATTACAAAAGCTTATTTAAAAAAACCTAAGTAGAAAATAAACAAAAATTTTAATAGTATCACTATAAAGGTTAAATCCTAAAAACAAATATTTAGTAAAATAAACTAGATAGAGTATAATCTATAGGCAAGCAGATTTACCAATCAGGCTATCAAAATTCAGACTAAAAAAAAAAAATATTAGGCTAGACTCAATATACCAAAACAGATGATAGTCTTTCTAGATTATCTAAATTAAAAGTTTAAAAAAGATTGTAAGATATGCTAAAGTATTAAGAATATGCTATGAAGTAGAGACTAGGGTCTTGAATAAATCTATAAAAATAAGTATTAGATAATAGTAGCAAAGTTGAAAGACCAATTGCAAATACAAGTTTTCAGACTCAATATAAGTTACTAAAGTCTAGATTAGCTATATATAGAATACAGAAAGCTTTAGCAAGTTTGTTTTTGAGAATAAAAGATTCTAAAAAAAGTCTGTTTTAAAGTTCTAAATTGGATATACAAAATAAAGAATATAAAACCTCTTGCTTAGTTTGTAAAATACTTTACATAGTTGCAAAGAGTTTAAATAGATAATTTTTTAGTCAAATTAGTTTTTTTTTTGTTTTTAAAATGACCTCTTGGTCATGTTGCTAACTAAGGGGAGTGCCAGAAATCAGCTGATTTTTTAGAGGGGAGAGAGATAAAAAAAATTATCAAGTATATAGTTTTAGCCAATTAAAATTTTTTATTTAAAATCAGGTAGGGGGAGGGGGTAGCCTCTTAATAAAAAAATATCAGCTGATAAATGACCCTCCTCTAACTAGAGTTAATTTAGTTGTGAGCCAAATTATATCTAAAAAGTAGTGAAGATTATTCGATTTAAAAAGAGCCTTAACTTGTTTTTAAAATTCTCTGAAGATATTTGTTTAGACCTATGAACTAAGGAATGTATTTTAGATATTTGATGATATTAGTGCTCTTAGGTCTGGTTTGGGTCCAGTCTGGTTCAGGCGATTTACTTATTTGTGCAAGTGATACAAATCACGTGCCAATAGTAAATATTCATTTGTTGTTATTTTGCTTAGGGTTAAGGTTAGTATAAAGAACGTTGTATAGTAAAATTTGGCCAAAAATTTTTTTTATTAGAATGTAAAAGGTGATTTCTTAGGGAAAATTTAGAGTTACCGGCGATGTTTTGAAAAAGCCTTCGATTTCACATTATACAAGGATTGCACCTGATCTTGCGATCTACATATAAAAATTTTCTTTTTTGGATTTGTATCACTTGCGCAAATAAGTGTACACTGGTTCAGGTTCGGTCTAGGATCGAGCTAGACTTAAACTCTAAATTTTACTAGTTTCAAACTTCGGACCAGACTCAAACTCATTTATGAGTTTGGTTTGGGTATAGTCCAAAGTTTGCAAACTAATTTGAGTCTAATTGTCACTCAAAAAAAATAGTAGCTAGATTTTTTGCTAGCTTATATATGATTTTGAAAACTGATTGCTGGTAAAATTATATTTATCATGCTTAATAAATTAGATAGCTATGCGATGCTGTTGTACTAAAACCAGAAACATAGATCTTGAACAATTAATGTTTTTTTAATCAGACATAAAATTAAGTTTAGAAAGTAAATACAGTAAATATTTTATATCAAACATTAAAACTTCTATAATTCTTCAGCCAAATTCTTATCTGGCTACAATTAACAAATAATATATGTTGAAAACTTTCGAGTCACATAGATAACTTATATATATATTTAGAAATGATTATAGAATTAGTTACGATTAGAGCTTAGAACTGGTTTTATTTTTATATATTAAAACCGGTTTTAATCGATTTTATCATATGAAAAATAAAGCTGATTCCAAACTCTAATACTAAGTTACGATTTAAATTTGGAACTATTCTTTTGCTACAGCTTTGATAATTATTGATTATCAAATTCATCATACCAGTAAAAAATTTGATGAAAAGAAAACAAAAAATAAAAAATAACTCTTAAAGTAACATAAAATTATAGGATAAAGAGGCAATTAAAAATGATAAAATAATATATTCTAGTATAAGTTGAGTATATTTTGATAAATTTTTTTTTTGTCTTTATATACATATATATATGTATATGAAACCATATGGTGAATTTATTACACTACATAACATATATAGTAAAAGACTTGGTAAAATTTTTTTTTTTTTTTTTTTTAAGGTGACCTCTTGGTCGATTCTCTTTTATTCAGTTATTAGTCAAGTTTTACCGTACG